GTTAACCGAATTGAAGATCCTTATGGAAGGCAGTTCGTTAATCGAAATTACGTTAACCGAGGTGTTCGTTAAACGAGGGGTCACTGTGTATATATATATATATATATATATACAGTGGTCCCTCGGTTAACGAGATTTCGGTTAACGATTTACCTTCCATAAGATTCTTAACTTCGGTTAACGAGCAATCCCTCGATTAATGAGTTTTTTACGAGCCGACTTCAACATGTTTTCGCTTGCATTTGGCGGTCCACCAGCTGTAGTATTAGTCCGCCAATACAGTAATCGGTTTTAGTGCTTAAATTCCTTACTATTTTAGTAAATATCAAGAAGTTTATACAGTGAGTTCTGCTATAACGCGTGTTTTGATAACGCGAATTTGCTCTAACGCGATTTATGAATTCGGAACAATATTTGTATAACGCGAACGCTTGTTTGCTATAACGCGATTTTTGCTTACTATTTCTCCAATTTTGTGGTATTAACTGTGAATATGGTAAAGAAGAATATCTCCAAAAGGCGTTCTGATGATAGAATTCCCGGTGATTATCGTAAAAGAAAGGATATAACACTTGAAGAGAAGCTCGATGTTATCAACCTCAAAATCACCCTTCTCCCCCATCAAGTTACATTCATATTTTTTCAAGGTAAAGTGTTAAATTTACTGTATGATTTCATTATTAGATATGAATGTAACATTTATTTAGACTGTGCTATCCTTTGTGTTAGGCTAACTACTAAATTTTTTCGATTTCGAGTAATCTGCACCAAACCCTATTTTCTCCATAAGCCCTGTTATTTCTATTACGCGATTTTCTATAACACGATATTTTACAAGAACACAATTATCGCGTTATAGCAGAACTACCTGTACTATTCAATAATTTTAAAAGTTTAACATTAACTTTTTTAGTCATTTTAACAATTATTTAACATAATTGAAGGTAAAGAAACTAGTTTCTGGCGTGCCATCCAGCCTGTTAACACACCAGACAAGCGTTAGTCTCTGTTTTCAGTGGAGGTAACATCTTGCTTGAGACTCTCTTCAACTAAACGCTTTTTTTCTGTTTCCAAGCAAATTATTGGTCATTTTGAAATATATTTTACATATTGACAATATATAATGCAGTGCAGTGTTGATTTAAAGAAAATAATCTTGAAATACACCAAGAGAACTAAAATTTTGTGGGTGAAATGGTGCCATGGGGTGACTTCTCTTCCACCCCAATGCCTTCTCTTCTTCCTTCTCCTCCACCCCCATTCTAATTCCCATCATCATCATCATCATCCAGGAGTCTTCTACATACACACCTCAAAGTAAGTGTACTTTTCTACCTTTCTTGTTGAATTTAGGCAATTTTCGGTGAGCTGGAACCACTACCCAAAAACCCATTGAAACAATGGTTTCGGTTGACGAGTTTTTTGGTGAACGAGCAACCTGCTGGAACGGATTGTGTTCGTTAACCGAGGGACCACTGTGTATATATATATATATATATATATATATATATATATATATATATATATATATATATATATATATATATATATATATATATATATATATATATATATATATATATGCACAGTATTGTATAGAGGATACTCAGGAACAAAATTAAAGTACCCTCTACAGTACATAATTATTTAAAACTTCATATGACAAAATATTTAAAACTTCACATGACAAAATTTTTATACCAAAACTGCTTATAACATTTTTATAAAGAAGACAGATCTGTTTCAACAGTAATTTTATACTAATTTGTCCATTCCTAACACAGTAATTTGGTATGATCTATACAAGTACTGTACCGTATAGTCATTTGAGTTTAACCTGTAAATATACATGCAGTTTAATTTGCTGCATAAGTACAGAATTATCCTTCTTTAACATTTTGATTCTTAAATTCTAAATATAAAGGTACTGAATTAAGAGAAAAATTATATCACATGCAAAATTTTGGTCAGAGCAGAGCATGTGCTTAAGGAGTCACAGAACATTTCATGAACTCAAGATTTTAAGGTGTTATATAAAGATTAGCACTTAACATTTAAAATTGTAACTACTCATTCAATAGTTTCATACTAAAATAAAATTATAGTTTCATTTGTAAAATGCAAATGGACCCTCTGGTGCACGATCAGTGCCCACTGCATATGTAGTGGGTATGGCAAGTCAGCTCAGTACAATATATAAACAGTCCCATATCAATATATGAGGGCTAAAGAAAACTGCAGTTCTGGTGTGAGTTTAGTAAGTGTGGCACTCCATCAACCAGACAAATAATTAAAGGAAAATTAGAACAGCTATAATGTCAGAAACAGTTAAAATTAGTACTGGTTGTACCTCTCTAGTCCGGCAACCTCGGGACCTGACCGGTGCCGGACCATGGAAATTCACCCTTTTCCTGGATAGATATTGACTTGTGCTTATGCTTGGAAGCACTAGCACCACTTTCTCTGCATCATGGTCTCTTTGAAGACATATTGAAGGGTTAAATGTCGTATAGTAGCTTCTCAAATTTTGTGAGTTTTTAATTCTTAGCGTATTTTATTGGAACACACAAAAAAATAAATAAATAAAAATTTTGAGTGCGGAAACTTGAATTTCGACGGGTTTGAACGGCCCGCCAACGTGCAGACGACGTGCATAATTGTGTAAACAGCGTCATTTCTCTTCTGTACAAAAGATTCATTATTGTTTATTACTGAATGTCTTTTTTATTGAATTAATGTTTATGTGTGCAAAATGAGCAATACAATTCATTAATAATACGTAGAATATTAAAACACACGAGGAAATGACACGCCATTGTTTTCATTGATTACAAAGCCAGTGACTGACTGGTTCTACATATAAAACTGAAGAAAATAAGACCTTCGTTGTAGCTGTAGTAAAATTAATATGGTTTTAAGTAATGTTATTTAATGTTAATAAATGGAACAATAGAAGTAGCTAACGATAATGGTAAAGAAAAAAGAGAGATCGCATATGTAAGTGCGCATGCGCACACGTGAAAACATATCGTCATTACTTTACATAAGAATATGAAAGCAACACTTATTTACTGTTCATATATATTTTAATTAATGTTTCTGAATTTGTTTTTATTGGATTAATGTATGTGTGTGCAAAATTAACAATACAATTTATTAATAATACGTGGAATATTAGAGGAGACGAGACGGCTGCCGGCATTGTTTATGTTAAAGCTTACGAAACCAGTGACTGATTCGTTCGACATACAGGTAGTTCTGCTATAACGCGATAATTGTGTTCTTGTAAAATATCGTGTTATAGAAAATCGCGTAATAGAAATAACAGGGCTTATGGAGAAAATAGGGTTAGGTGCAGTTTACTCGAAATCGAAAAAATTTAGTAGTTAGCCTAACACAAAGGATAGCACAGTCTAAATAAATGTTACATTCATATCTAATAATGAAATCATACAGTAAATTTAACACTTTACCTTGAAAAAATATGAATGTAACTTGATGGGGGAGAAGGGTGATTTTGAGGTTGATAACATCAAGCTTCTCTTCAAGTGTTATATCCTTTCTTTTACGATAATCACCGGGAATTCTATCATCAGAATGCTTTTTGGAGATATTCTTCTTTACCATATTCACAGTTAATACCACAAAATTGGAGAAATAGTAAGCAAAAATCGCGTTATAGCAAACAAGCGATCGCGTTATACAAATATTGTTCCGAATTCATAAATCGCGTTAGAGCAAATTCGCGTTATCAAAACACGCGTTATAGCAGAACTCACTGTATAAAACTCAAGAAAATAAGACCCTGATTTTAGCTGTAGTAAAATTAATGTAAAAAAATAATATGGTTGTTTGAAGTACCTGTAATGTTATTTAATGTTAATAAATGGAACAATATAAGTAGCTAACCATTAATGGTAAAAAAAAACAGAGATCGCGTATGTAAGTGCGCACATGTGAAAACATATCGTCATTACTCTACATAAGAATATGAAAGCAACACTTATTTACTGCTCATATATATTGAAGGGTTAAATGTTGTACTCTGTATAGACAAGCAGAGAGAGCGAGAGAGAGAGCAGCCGAACTGCCGGATGTAAACAAACCTTCATTTCCCGCGGCTGTTTTTTTTTTTAAGGGGATTAGCCCACCCGGGCATAGGTCACTGACTCATTATTGGGGCCTGAGGGCAAAAAAAATAAAAAAAAAAAAAAAAAAAAACTGCCTATCTACCGATTGGACAAACTAAAATAGTTCCGGACCACGGGAGTTTCCGGACCACAGAATGCCGGACTAGAGAGGTACAACCTGTATAATTAAAATTTTTGCAACACTAAATTTGTGGGGTATCATCACCATATTCTTACTCCTTAAATATTTCATCAGTTCCCTTCAAACTGAACTTTAGTAATCTAACTACTGTACTGTACTGTACTGTACTACTTTTGCCTTCATGACATACAATGCTTAAAAAAATAGTACAATATAAAGAATTTATATTACATAGTTACCAAGCTGCATTCACAATGGGCTTTCAACTGCATCACTTAATAAAACTAACCTCAACCAACAGTTCTCTTCTCTCACAAAAGGCAGATACATTACATGAACCATATTTCATGTACAGTGAGAGAATGAAGCATTTTCCCGGAGTTTTGACTAATACATCAGAGAACGGTTGAGCCATTTAACACACGCATGTGTGGAGCCCATGAACAGTTGGCAGGCCTATAGAGCCTTGGAAAGGAGTTGCCAGTAACACCATTCACTGTGTTGGATACTTAGGTTCCATTATACTTTGGCCAAAGGTGGGGAGATAATGTACTTCATTCTCTCACTGCACAGTACTCTGGACCCCCATGTTACGGAATGGATGTACAGTACCTGTATTCCTGAAAAATTGGCCCATATACTCCCATGTGAAAAATGAAGATGCATTCACGTGGATTTTCTTTTTTGGGGGTTAACACAAGTAATAAAAACACTTATGATTGGAAATATAGATTTCTAAACATATTTTAATTATAGTTTAGATATTTTATAATTTTACATAAGTTTTAGCAATGGCGCTAAGTTTCTCTCCAGAATCAAACATCGTTTTACATCCAGTGTAATTCCTTATGTGCTTGTTTAGGTGTAGTACTTGTATTTGAATTTGCTAGCCTAATTGCAGACATCTTGAAGGGAAATACAGTTTAGAACACGGAAAAATCTTGAAAAAAACAACAGCTAGATGCAGAGGCAGACTGTAACTGACACGCTCCCAGATTTTGGTAATTTTTCTTTCTTTTTTACATTTAGTGATTTAAATTTTTAAATATTTTTTGTAAAACTCCAAAAGGGCGAATTTACATTCCGTATCCTGACTTTAGTGGTAGTGATTTACAATGTCAGTAAGAGCAAATTTCCGTAAAGCTGGGGTCCAGTGTACACTTGGATTATCTCTGGCAACTATTAACACTTTTGTTGTTGAAGTTGGTTTGGCTAACATTCAAATGAAGCAGTTACCTCTTGCTTGCACTCAAAATTAAAACTGTTTTAAGAATAAGGATTATCACATAAAGTACAGTATACTGTATAATATACACAAAGTGGAAAAAAAAAAAATGAAATATAAGTATAAAATTACATACTATATAATGAAAAGGAACAAGGTAATAGGTTCTATTTTCCTTTCAAATATTCTCAGAATATGTGACAAAATGTTTAGTCAATAAAATATTTCTAAAACCAAAAGTTAATTACGACAATATGCCTTTCAGTTAGACAATTCATATAATGTAATGTACAGGTCTCAGGTCATGTGAACTGGGACACCCTAATTTCCTGGGATCGGTGGCCGAGCAGCTAACCTGGCTACAAGATATTAACATATCAAATGATTAGGAATGATATGATATAGCAATCTTCACTTATAGTAGTTTACAACTAAAAAGGTAGGAAACACGAGAGGCTCATATTTAGAGAATCCAGGGAGAAACATATTGCTGCATCACTACCGTTTTCTCCCCCTTTGATTTTGTTGGCTCTTGACCTTTATCTGTCTGTTTCTTTCTCCCTTCATTCAGCGATATGGCCAAATCTGGAGAGATTTTATGAGTAACATTGCTTCTGTTTTAAGTTTTCCAGTTCCAAGATCACATCTCTGGCCCCCATGGCAGGTGACAGCACACGATGATTTTTCTTCCCCCAAAAATAGTTTTTATTGGTATAAACCATATATCTTTGGCTTTGCAACTAATTGCTCTGCAACATAAGCCCCCCCACCACCAAAAAAAATACCGGTACTAATAATACAAGTAAATAGCTATTTTTCGTCTCTTCTAATAAACACCAAAAAAAAAACACCAATACGCTCATAACATCCTAGCTCAAAATTGCCTGAACCAACTTTTTAAGTACTGTACTGTACACTGCTTGAAGCAAAATTTTATGAGCTTTCCAGTGCAGTAATCAGAGTTTTGATAAGACCAATAGTTTTTGAGAAAATAGTGGAAAAACTGATTCTCAAATGGTAATTTTTTTTAATATCTTTTTTGATTATTTATGTCCGTATGTTTTATATCGATACAAATTATATTGTATCTTGTAGCCAACACTATAATGAAGAGAACGGTACTGATCAAATTGATGTAAGTCTAGAAAAATCATCGTCTTTCAGAGAATTCTTTTGAGACATTGTCACTATAAATGAGGTTGTATAGCCTGATACTGTAATGGCTTTTGAAAACTACTGTAAACACTTTCCCTGTAAATGTGAAAAAAATATTACATTACACAACCATCACTTCACTAAAAAGAAATTATTTCAGGGAGTTGGTTAAGCACTGTAATCCAGGAGTTGAGACAGCCTACACGGAGTTATGGAAACTTAAATGGACGCTGCTCACACTCACGGTTTGAATGCTGAGATAATACTAGGCATTTATCGCTCCGCTCCTCCCTTCCTATGGGCCAAGAGTTGCAATTAGTTTGTTTGATAGAATGTACTTGCTACTATGGCGCATTAAAATTTGATGCAATTCTGTTGAAAACTTAATTCTAGGTGAATTTTTTTATAGATTGGCGACTCAATTTGCATCACCATGAAGTTGGTCTTACGTGAATACGATGAGAATCACGTCAACATGTGCGAGAGGGTTAAAGAGTAGTCACACTCCTATGAGACCTGGGCTTATTATGGGAGGGGAATATGGCTTCTATGATTGCTCTCATTCAGTCAACTAATTGCATATTAGATCTCTAGCAACAGGGAAATTAGTGTACTGTACTTTCACATGCTATGGCTATGAACATTTCAGTTCTCATCAAGCAGGGATCAGGTTTATGCTTGGCTGTCTCCTGGCTAATATTATTAGATGCTAGTTTAGCAATAGATCTTCTGAAAAGATTTTCATAGGTGAAGGAGGTGTTTATCTTCATACATCTTTGACAATTATGTTTAATTGGACAGTCGTGTCATTTCCAGAATTCTGGGTGATTGCTTTTTTTTTTTTTTTGCAAATGTATCAAGAAAGCATATAACAATCCTTTAGTACACAAGGAGGCAGAATGGCCACCAATGCATTCAATTGCCTTCATTTCCCAGTATAGAGCTAGATACCCTGTACCCACTTACAAGACTGACCTGGGATTGAACCAACAACCCCTAAGGCAGAGGCAAGTGCTGTATCTACTCTACTACTGCACCCCTTTATTGTATCAACAATAGTGTATGAAAAAGCAAAGTTATTCCATGATTTTCCCCCATGATAAATTCCCACATTTACTACAGCTCACATCCGAACTCTACAGTTCAAACACAGATGTGATATGCATTTTACAAGGAAATGGAAAATCAAATTGAATGCTTTAACAAGGAATGAGGTGATGTAACTTAGTTAGAAGTTCAACCCAAATTCATTTTTATGAATTCTCCCTCAATTCTATTCAACTATTTATTTGTTTGCAACATTGGAGATCATAAACCTCTGTTTTGTGTTGCCTATTACCTCCAGAAGATTCCATGGATATGGATGCTTTCTCCTTGGTTTGGCCATAGGGAATGATTTTGCTGCGTTATCCCCAAACTGAAATGTTAGAAGTAATTGGCTAACCACAGCAGTTACTGAGGTTTTCTATATGAATGGTCCCTCTGAAAAAATGTCTAAATTCATACTTTACCCTGAGCTTATTTAGATTCCTTCTTTACTTTTGAGTTAGAATATGGGAATGATTTGATTTATTTATTAGGTTATCTAGGTAATTTTTACATTGTATAGTAGTTATGCAGTCATTCAAGACTTTGGATTTTCATTCAAACCTGAGGATGGAGCTTCCCTGGTGCAAGGTTGTGCAGGCAAAACACAACATTTAGGGTATTTGTTTTCAGTGCCCCTTCAATGAGGTATTTTAAGGGCCTAGGCATCTATCATACTAAGACGGTTTTCAGCAGACATCTAGTACTGAAGGTCTGTATAGCAGTGTTGTAGACCTACTTGGGTGCATTGCACATGGTTGTAGTGTTTATGAGTATAAATCATCCCCTTCCATTTTCTAGCTGGCTTGAGATGGATGAGCCATATGGTGGCTTGATCTTTAATTTCAATTTTATGAAGGACCCTAAAGTCATAGGTTTCAGATACTTTCCCTCCCCCTTCTGTAATATGAAGCTGGCTGGTATTAAAAATGGTGGTTAGAGCTCAATCCAATATGAAGCTTAACATATGCCTGTTGAGGTACCTGTACTACAAGTAACATGAAGTACAGTACTCAGTATTTATTGTTTTCAATGGTGACTTTGGTGGTCAAGTTCACTTTCTATGAAGACAGCATCATGGTGAGGGGTTAACTAATCATTTGATTGGTTGGTGACTAACTGTAGGGTTAGTTGCTCAGGCACCATTTCTGTCATATTAACAAATCATTAGATGATATACTAAGATGGTGCCTTGAAAACCCAGGCATAGGTCTACATGTACAGTATAAGCAAGTACTCATATAATACATCAAACAATGACCCAGTCCTGTAATGCAACACACCATCCAAATGAAGCACATGGATGGCAATTCTGAATTTCTACAATAAATTCTACAATACCTGTATTCAAAAATAAAAAATAAATATAAATGATTGAGTATAAATAACAAATCCTTTAAATACTAACATTCATATAATTTAGAGATGGTTTACATTCAGAAACAATGTTTACAATGCTATTTCCCAAAAATATCACAGCCTTGTGCCACAATACAGTACAGTATAATCATCTTAAGCATATAAGTTCAACAAAAGCTTTAATATCATCAGAAACTCTTGCAATGCTTCTGGATATTAATAACAATAATTACAAAATTACTACTCCATTTACATTACAAGTAAAACCAAAGGTAATACTGATTTCATGTCTAAAGCTTTAGGGGGCTTATTTATTTATTAAATTTTTTAATAAAAACTAACAAGCAAATGCAGATTTGTTTAGTTATACTAATTTTTAAATTACCAGTACCGGTAAATGGAATCTTCCAAGACCAAGACCGTAATTACAGTTAATAGTTACTATCAGTGTTAGATACAGTATATATGCTCACAGATAATATTTCATATACAGAACCTATTACTACTGTTATTTTTAAAGAACACCTTGGTATCAATTTTATTCATGATACTGTATATAAAAAATAATATTGCATCCCATCCAGTATAATGAAACAATGTCTTAGATTAAATTGAATATGACTTTGAACAAGTATGACCATTTGTGGGAGTGGTGCGAAGCAACAGATTATACACACCACCCACTGGACCCCATGGTTCATGACCCAAATGGTGAAGCACATCTTCTGAGTCCTTCTGAAGAAGGGAGGATACATGGCCTACGCACTGCATATTTATCCAGAAACTCTGTTTCCTACCATCATTGGTATTAACACTGTTATTGCAACTACCTGTACTCTCAGCATCACTTGATTCATCGCTCAACTCACACCTTTTAGTGTAATTGAACTCCAAATTACAGCAACTTATACTACTTACTTCATTTTCTAAGCCCTTGACATGGCTGCTGAGTTTACCTAGCTTATTGTTATCAGGCATACCATCTCTAGCATCAGTAGTACCTTTCCTTCCACTCTGAGAATCGGGATATTCAATGAAGATGCTAGAGATGGAATTTTGCTTGCAAAACCAACTGTGACCACATACTCTAGGTAGAGTCCACCTACTTGCAGGGTTTGTGTGAAGCATGGCGCGCAGTACAGCAGCTGCCTGAGGTGTTAAAGTATCCAAAGCATCCTCGTGCTGTAACTGAAGACCAAATAAAGCTGTAGTGCCTCGACGCCCATTTCGGGTGTATTCATTAAAGGGAACTTCTCCTACTAAGGTAAAATACAAAGAAGCACCCAAACTGAACACATCAATCTCTGGGCCATACTCATGTGCTGATGAAGTAAGCTCTGGTGCCATGTAAGACACAGTGCCTGCACGAGTTTGGGCAGTAGTCAAGGGTGAGGAGGAATCCCATGCTGCAGCCAACCCTAAGTCAATTAGCTTTGCAACAGGTGCTACTAACTCCTTTCCTGGCACAATCATGATGTTTTCAGGCTTGACATCTCTATGTAATATGCCCTGGTTATGTAAATGATGTAAACCAGCTGCTACTTGATTAAAAATGATTGCAGCTATTGGTTCGGCAAGGCCACAGCACTTCTTCTCATAATGTTGGATAACTAAAGCAGCTAGAGTGGTATCACCAAGGTCTTCAAGGCAAACATACAAACCAGAAGGCCCTCGCATTACTTCCATTAAAGCTACAACTGACGGATGTGAAATTCGAGCCAGAAGAGCCGCTTCATTCTCCAAAGCTGCTCGCCATTGTGTTTCCTCCACGTGAAGACAACCTGTGTGTTGCCCCGTTTCCCCTCCACATCCAACTCCATCCACTGCCCATGGCTGGTGCTTCACTGCTACCTGGTAACCCACCACCTGGTGTGTGGCCCTTGATACCCAACCAAACCTTCCCCTCCCCAGCACTCCTCCCATGTGATAATGACCCACCAATACCATCTCAAAATGTGTCCAACACCAAAAATTCAAGAGAGGTTGTTATTTTAAATTATTGAGATTGAAATAGAACCAAAAACAAAATTGACAAACATATTTGACCTTAATGGTTATGAATCACAAACACACAAAATAGTGCAGTATCTAAGTCCAGAAGTGCAATTCTAATTTTGCAATTTTGTTCCAAATTAGTTAAAAAAAATACAAACTCTTATATCAATCATTAAAGCCTAAACTGTCTATACATTAAAGTTTTAAGCTTAAATATTTACTGTTCCTGAAATCATACCAATGATAATCTTATTATGTGTTCTTGTAATTATGCTTATCATACGACTTTCAAAAATCACAAAGACCAAATATGAGGAAAGCATTATACTAAATATTTCATCAGTTACCCATTTACAGTAAGTATGGAGCTGATGAAACATATGTAAAGAACACATGATTAAACATTGTCCATTTTACTAAAGGGTATGGGGGCTTAATCCACACACTAGTGATCTCTATTATAAAGGTACAGTACTTATAAGATCTTAGATATAGGAAACTGAGGTGGCTTAATATTTAAAGTGTATCATTCACTCATTCACAAGAGATATAACAAAGGTCACAAATATACAACAGTAGTTACCTTTGGAAACAACACTAACATCATAACATTCATTACTTGGCCATCCCTAAACACACTGTCATGGCAGAGAAGGAATTTATTAATGATTGGCTAAATCTGCAGGTACTCTGGATCACTTCCTTAGTGTCAACACTAGGCTGAGGATTATCTCCACTAATTATCACAGCTAAATTGAAGATGCTGCTGCAAGTCCCTGGGAAAAATTGTATGATGCACAAAATTGATTACTGTATAATTTATCAGTACATGTAATACTCTTAAACTCTTGTGTTATCGAGCTCCATTTTTACTTATTCATATTTCTGTAAACAAATATTTTCCAAGTTCTTACAGGTTTTTCTTCTTCATATAACCAATGCTCTTCAAAGAGTAAAACCAAAAAATAATCTTAGATGTGAAATAAACATATGGTATTGTGCTCCCTAGATGCCCTTTCTTTATTCAATTATTCAATTTGTTTAATTCAAATGTCAACAAAATGGTAATAAAAGTGGGAGCCTTCCAGTAAACAATACGGTACACATATCATATATCCTTGGCTTATCTACTTAATACCAAAGTATAAAAAGGATTTACAAGAACAAAGTACATTACACACGTACATACAGTATATGTGTGCACAGGCTTATTATATTTTAATCCAAATTTTTTATTAATACACTTATGAAAGTTCTTTTGTCTCCTGAATATTAGGAAAATATAAGATTCTTTTAATAATCACAATTAAATAGTGGCAGTGTCGAGATGTATCCCATGGAAAAATGCAGAGCAGTGGAGGGGGGAAATGGGCACCAAATGGTGGGACAGCATCCCGCCTATGGCTGGAAAATTATCATATCCCAATCGACACACATGATGAAGGCTTGGCTGCTCAGTTATTACCAGCTTCTAACAGTGTGTTCATAGTTCCTGAAAAAAAAAATACATGTACCTATACTGTATTATTCTAACAGCAGTATATGCACACATAAAAATATCTATGTCTCTAACGTCAGTTTTTTTATACGTATACTGTACTGTATACAGTACACTGTTCTGTATACATCATCAACAGAAGGAGGAAGGCAAACATGGTGGTCAAAGTGGGACATAATCTTCAGTCTTATCAATTGGAGGGGAAAACCCAAAGAAGGGAAGTTGTAATTCCTCCACCTATTTCTTTCTATTCATGAGGTATGAAACAAGTTTTTGATTTAGATTTTTTTCATTTAGTATTTCATTTCCAGAGTCCCTCCCCCCCCAACATTCTGGGTTTTTCATGAGGTAAGAAAGCATTTATCATTATCATCTACAGAAAAATATCCTCAAGTGACTGTTTAATGTCTTCCAGCATTACCAAAAGAAGTTATGGTACAATGGAGCCGCAATAATTCATGGGTTAGGTACCAGAAGATATCGTGAATTATCAAATTCCAAATTATAGTTTAATTGAGTTAAAAGGAAATAATTAAATTCAAAGCCAAAAAATACACATAAACTGTACCAAAACTGCTCTAATATACAGTAAGTATTGTATGTAATACTGCACTGTACAGTGGTCCCTCGGTTAACGAACACAATCCGTTCTAGCAGGTTGTTCGTTAACCGAAAAATTCGTTAACCGAAACCATTGTTTCAATGGGTTTTTGGGTAATTGGTTCCAGCTCACCGAAAATTGCCTAAATTCAACAAAAATGGTAGAAAAGTTCACTTACTTTGAGGTGTGTATGTAGAAGACTCCTGGATGATGATGATGATGATGGGAATTAGAATGGGGGTGGAGGAGAAGGAAGAAGAGAAGGCATTGGGGTGGAAGAGAAGTCACCCCATGGCACCATTTCACCCATAAAATTTTAGTTCTCTTGGTGTATTTCAAGATTATTTTCTTTAAATCAACACTGCACTGCATTATATATTGTCAATATGTAAAATATATTTCAAAATGACCAATAATTTGCTTGGAAACACAGAAAAAAAGCGTTTAGTTGAAGAGAGTCTCAAGCAAGATGTTACCTCCAGTGAAAACAGAGAGAGACTAACGCCTGTTTGCTGTGTTAAGAGGCTGGATGCCGTGCATTAAACTAGTCACTTTACCTTCAATTATGTTCAATAATTGTTAAAATGACTAAAAAATTGAATATTAAACTTTTAAAATTATTGAATAGTATAAACTTCTTGATATTTACTAAAATAGTAAGGAATTTAAGCCCTAGAACCGATTAATGTATTGGCGGACTAATACTAAAGCTGGTTGACTGGCCAGTGCAAGCGAAAACATGTTGAGGTCGGTTCGTAAGAAATTCGTCAACCGAATTTTTGTTCGTTAACCGAATTTAAGAATCTTATGGGAGGCAGTTCGTTAACCGAGGCGTTCGTTAACCGAGGGACCACTGTACATAAAAAATATAGTAATACATATTGTACAAAGAGTACAGTGCTAGTTTTATACAGATACTGTACTGTATTGCATAAACAGCTTCTTCCCTTCTCATAATCATCCTCTGGGTGACAGCATTACACCAACATAGAGACAGGCAGGCACCAGGGCTTGCTGGCTGTTCACCTATGTAAACAAAGCACCAGGAATTTAATACAACTCAGTAACTCATCTGGGGTTAAATGTGGGATTTTTACAATAATGTTTTATTAACCTAGCACCAAATGAACCTAAAAACTGTACTGTACAGTATTGTAATATGGGAATTATGGTGCTGTTCCAGCCACCTGCCAGACAACCACTTTCCACTCCTAATTTTTCTTATTTTTTATAGTTTTATATTATATTTTCTTTATTTATGTTAGAGTAGAGCATTGAAATTATATTTACATTATGTGTACAGTATTTTCTCTACTTTTAAGTCACATTAGAGCATTTAAATGATATGTACACTACTTTTATGGTGTCTTATGTAAATACCGTAAACACTGTAGCAGCCAGAGCTCGGTCATGAATTATGAATAACTGACCATAAAATTTAACAAAGAGGTAGTACTGTAATTTAAAAACGTGAATTTGAACTTCACAAATTATAATGACTCCACTGTACTACTTGTCAAAAGTGGTCTGGCCTTAGTAGCTACTCAATAAAATTTCTCCATAGAAGATATATGCTTTTTTACCTTGAGAAACTGAAAAAAAAAATGCAGGAACATGCCTTTTGTGAGATAATGGACTTAATATGAGAAATGGGTGAAGAAAAATGACCAAACATAACCTTGCTACCAGTGCCGTGTTTAAACTGCAGGAGTGGATCTATTCACAGAAAGCAAATCTATTCTACAGGGTGTTCCAAAAAAATGTGCTCACTCTTTGACTGCCCATTACCCATATATTTTTTGTTTTTGTTTCAGGTGCGACTAACCCTAAATAATGTTATTTTCTTTAATTTAACTCATTAGACTTGTATCTATGTCAATAAACACTTAAATCAAAACAAAAAATATATGAGTACAGGTTGTACCTCTCTAGTCCGGCATTCTGTGGTCCGGAAACTCCCGTGGTCCGGAACGATTTTAGTTTGTCCAATAGGTAGATAGGCAGCTTTTTTTTTTTTTTTTTTTTTTTACTTATCTGAATTATTATTATTACAGGAGTATTAAATTTTTGCCCCTCAGGCCCTAATGTGGGTCAGTGACCTATTCCCGGGTGGGCTAATCCCCTTAAAAAAAAAAAAGCCGCGGGAAATTAAGGTCTGTTTACATCCGGCAGTTCGGCTGCTCTCTCTCTGCTTGTCTATACAGAGTACAACATTTAACCCTTCAATATGTATGAGCAGTAAATAAGTGTTGCTTTCATATTCTTATGTAGAGTAATGACGATATATTTTCACATGTGCGCACTTACATACGAGCAGTCTCACTTATTTTTTTACCATTAATGGTTAGCTACTTATATTGTTCCATTTATTAACATTAAATAACATTACAGGTACTTCAAGCAACCATATTCATTTTTTTACATTAATTTTACTACAGCTAAACTCAGGGTCTTATTTTCTTCAGTTTTATATGTAGAACCAATCAGCACTGGTTTCGTAAGCTTTAACATAAACAATGCCGGCAGCCGCTCATCTCTAATATTCCAAGTATTATTAATAAATTGTATTGTTAATTTTGCACACACGTACATTAATTCAATAAAAACAAATTCAGAAACATTAATTAAAATATATATGAACAGTAAATAAGTGTTGCTTTCATATTCTTATGTAAAGTAATGATGATATGTTTTCACGTGTGCGCATGCGCACTTACATATGCGATCTCTCTTTTTTCTTTACCATTATCGTTAGCTACTTCTATTGTTCCATTTCTTAACATTAAATAACATTACTTAAAACAACCATATTAATTTTACTACAGCTACAACGAAGGTCTTATTTTCTTCAGTTTTATATGTAGAACCAGTCAGTCACTGGTTTTGTAATCAACGAATACAATGCTGTGTCATTTCCTCGTGTGTTTTAATATTCTACGTATTATTAATGAATTGTATTGCTCATTTTGCACACATAAACATTAATTCAATAAAAAAGACATTCAATAATAAACAATAATGAATCTTTTGTACATAAGAGAAATGACGCTGTTTACACGATTATGCACGTCGTCTGCACGTTGGCGGGCTGTTCAAACCCGTCGAAATTCAAGTTTCCGCCGTCAAAATTTTTATTTATTTATTTTTTTGTGTGTTCCAATAAAATACGTTAAGAATTAAAAACTCGCGAAATTTGAGAAGCTACTATACGACATTTAACCCTTCAATATGTCTTCAAAGAGACCATGATGCAGAGAAAGTGGTGCTAGTGCTTCCAGGCTTAAGCACAAGTCACTATCTATCCAGGAAAAGGGTGAATTTCCATGGTCCGGCACCGGTCAGGTCCCGAGGTTGCCGGACTAGAGAGGTACAACCTGTAATGGGCAGTCAAAGAGTGAGCACATTTTTTTGGGACACCCTGTATTTTAAAAGAATAAAATTGTTAAGACTACTATTTTTTATTGTTAGTTTTTTCTTCATTTCATGAACAAAACATTATAGATTGTAAGAACAGTTTGCCATTTGCTTGCTACATAATGTTACTTATGTTTTGGGTGTTAATGGCACCATATTTGAAATCACTTGAAATTTTTTTGCCACAGTCATTTCTGGAAAAGAATTGTGTTCTGGTTCTTCAATTAATCTGTAATGCTGTTTAGAGACAGAAAAAAAATAATCTTCTGAAATTAAATAAAAAATCTTTGGGAAAGAGTTTGACAACAAACTCCAACTGAAATGAACCATCATTCATTCTAAGAGAGGTATATACAGTGATCCCTCGGTTAACGAACGCCTCGGTTAACGAATTACCTTCCATAAGAATCTTCAATTCGGTTAACGAACAAAAATTCGGTTAACGAATTTCTTACGAAATCATGTCAACATGTTTTCGCTTGCTCACCAGCTGGAATATTAGTCCGCCAATACAGTAATCGGTTCTAGGGCTTAAATTCATTCCCATTTGAGTAAATATCAAGAAGGTTGTACTATTCAATAATTTTCCAAGTTTTATATTAAAATGTTTAGGAATTTCAACACTTATTTAACATAATTGCAGTACAGGAAACTAGTTTTTGGTGCGCCAATCAGCCACTTGACTCACCCACAAAGGCATCAGTTTGTATCTCTGGTCAGTGGAGGTAACATCTTGCTTGTGGCTCTCTTGAACATTAACTATTTTTACGTTTTTACAGTACAATTATTGGTCAATCTGAAATATATTTTACATATTGACAATATATAGTGCAGTGCAGTGATGATTTAAAGAAAATAATCTTGAATTACACCTAGTGAACTTAAAATTTTATGGGTGAAATGACAGCATCAAGCATGGGGTGATTTTCTCTTTCATCCCCACTTCCTTCTCTTCTCCCTTCTCCTCCACCCCCACTTC